CACAGGGTTTCACCATGTTGGCCAGGCTGGTCGTGAACTCCTGACCCCAGGTGATCCATCCACCTCGACTTCCCACAGTGCTGGGATTACAGGCATGAGCCACCGTGCCCAGCCATGACTCTCTTTTTATAAATATATATTTATATTTATACCTAGGATCATCTGGAAGTTTTGTTTTTGTTTTTTTTGAGCCAGAGCTTTGCTGTCTCACCCAGGCTTAGGTACAGTGGCATGATCATGGCGCCCTGCAACCGTGAACTGCTGGGCTCAAGCAATCCCCCTGTCTCAGCCTCGGGAGTAGCTAGGACAACAGGCATGCACCATCATGCCTGGCTATTTTTTTAGGTTTTATTTTTTTCAGTGACTGGGTCTTGCTGTATTGCCTAGACTTGTCTTGAACTTCTGGCTTCAAGCCACCTCAGCCTCTCAAAGTGCTGGGATTTCAGATGTGAGCCACCACACCCAACCTGAAACATATTTTTCCCTTTTTGTTTTTTCTTTTTTTTTTTTTTTTTTTTTTGAAGACCGGAAGTCTCGCTCTGTCACCCAGAGCTGGGAGGCAGTGGCCGGATCCTCAGCTCACTCGCACGCTCCGCCTTCCGGGTTTACCCATTCACACTCAGCCTCAGCCTCCGGCCGAGTAAGCCTGCGGACTAAGGCGACCGCACACCTCCGCACACCGGACCTATAGTATTCATCATTAGTATTTTTTAGTAGAGACGGGTTTCAATCCCGTGTCCAGCCCGGGATGGTCCCCCCCTCGATCTCCTTGACCTCCGTGATCCGCGCGTCTCGCGTCCCAATCGTGCTGGGATTACAGGCTTGAGCCACCGCGCCGGCCTCTTTTTTTGTATTTTCGTAGTAGAGACGGGTTTCACGCTGTGTTACGCCAGAACGGTCTCCGATCGTACTGACTCTGATCCGGCGTCTCGGCTCCCAACAGTGCGGGATGACACGGCTTGAGCCACCACGCCCGGCCTTTTTTCTTTCTTTTCTAAACCGTCGACGTCACACAAAACTCTTTGGAGCCAAGCGCTCGGAACAAAGGATTTTATTTTTTTTTATTTTTTTTTTTCTTTTTGAGCACCGAGTCTTCGCCGTAATCGCCCAGGCCTGGAGTGCAGTGGCCGGATCGTCGGCTCCTGCAGCTCCGCCTCCCGGGTTCCCGCGACATTCTCACCTGCCTCAGCCTCCGAGTAGCTGGGACTCACGGCGCCGCCCAGAGCCGCCCCCGCCCGCCGCCTCGCCCGCGGGCCCGCCCACGCCGGTCTCGCTTGCGCTTCCTCTTTAGTACAGTATGACCCGGGTTTCCCGTGTTACCACGGATGGCTCGATCTCCTGAACCTCGTGATCGCCCGCCGTCATCGGCGCTCGCCAATTGCTGGGATTACAGGCTTGAGCCACCGCGCCCGGCCAAAAGGATATTTTTTAAGGTGAGGAATGAGGTGGCCATTTGTAGAAATTGCCCAGGAGAGTATATTTTATATCCAGTTAAGCAGAATATTACTTTAAGAACACAAAATTGAATTGTAAATTGCATTAAGAAAACTGAAACCTAACCCATTATATTGGCAAAGGGGGTTCATTAGTTTTTTCTTGGATCATCACAGTGGCAGTAGAGTTGGAGAAGAATGGGGAGAATCTGGAAGCATTTTGCAAGTTAAATCCATAGAACTTGCTAACTGACTAGATATGGGTGTTAACAAGAGAGAGGCATCAATGGTGATGCCTTGGTTTTTGGTCAGAAAGAGAAAAGTATCTTCTGACAGAGGAAACTGGCTTGATACTTACAGGTGAAGCCAGCGGAGCTTCTGGGTCCGGTGAGGACTTGGAGAACTTTTGTGTCTAGCGAAAGGATTGTAAATGCACTAATCAGCACTCTGTAAAAATGCACCAATCAACACTCTGTAAAATGGACCAATCAGCAGGATGCAGGCAAGACCAAATAAGGGAATAAAAGCTGGCCACTCCAGCCAGCAGCGCCAACCCCTTTGGGTTCTCTTCCAGGCTGTGGAAAGTTTGTTCCTTCGCTTTTCACAGTAAATTTTGCTGCTGCCCACTCTGGGTCTACACTGCCTTTGTGAGCTGTAACACTCACGGCGAGGGTCTGCTGCTTCATTCCTGAAGTCAGCCAGATCACAAACCCACTGGGCGGGCAGAACAAACAACTCTGGACTCGCCACCTTTAAGAGCTGTAACACTCACTGTGAAAGTCTGCAGCTTCACTCCTGAAGTCAGTGAGACCACGAAGCTACCTGAAGGAAGAAACTCCGGACACGTCTTAACACGTGAAGGAACGAACTACAGACACATCATCTTTAAGAGCTCTAACACTCACCGCGAAGATCCGCGGCTTCATTTTTGAAGTCGCCGAGACCAAGAACCCACCGGAAAGAATAAATTCCGGGCACAATACTGTTAGACCTCGGTATCCTCCTGTTACACATAAAATTTTCACAGAATGTCATCGAACAAGGCTACTCTGTGACCTCATGGATGAAGATAAAAACAAGTTCACTTAATCATATCCAAACACAGACAAAAACATAAACATTGTCCAAATCACAAAAATGGCCAAATATCACCCTACCCTAACTGATATGAAGGACTGTTGCTGCTTTACCAATTACAGGTTCAGCTTTCCTTCATTCCTCACACCTTCTAGAAAAGAATCGCAGCCGGGGGCGGGTGGTCCATGTCTGTAATCCCAGCACTTTGGGAGGCTGAGGTGGGCAGATCACTTGAGGTCAGGAGTTTGAGACCAGTCTGGCCAACGTGGTGAAACCCCGTCTCTGCTAAAAACAGAAAAATTAGCCAGGTATGGTGGCACATGACTGTAATCCCAGCTACTCGGCAGGCTGAGGCATGAGAACTGCTTGAACCCAGGAGGGAGAGGCTGCAGTGAGTCAAGATCGCACCACTGCACTCCAGTCTGGGCAACAGATGAGAACCTGTCCCAAAAAAAAGAAAAAAAAAAAAAAGACACCCAATCACAAATTTATCCCCACTTCCTGACAGGATTAATTCCAGGCAAAGCTGTTTTGTTTCTTTTCTTTTACCTTTTCTTTCTCTTGCCCTATCGCCCAGGCTGGAGTGCAATGGCACGATCTCAAATCTCGGCTCACTGCAACCTCTGCCTCCCGGGCTCAAGCGATTCTCCTGCCTCAGCCTTCTGAGTAACCGGAACTACAGGCGCCCATAACCACGCCTGGCTAATTTTTGTATTTTTAGTAGAGACAGGATTTCACTATATTGACCAGGCTGGTCTCGTACTCCTGACCTTGTGATCCGAACGCCTTGGCCTCCCAAAGTGCTGGGATTACAGGTGTGAGCCACCGCACCCAGTCGAAAAGCTGTTTTTTTGTTTGCTTGTTTGTTTGTTTTGAGACGGAGTCTCGCTCTGTAGCCCCAGCTGGAGTGCAGTGGCCTGATCTCCGCTTACGGCAAGCTCCGCCTCCCGTGTTCACGCTATTTTCCTGCCTCAGCCTTGCGAGTAACTGGGACTACAGGCGCCTGCCACCACGCCCAGCTAATTTTTTGTATTTTTAGTAGAGAGGGGGTTTCACCGTGTTAGTCAGGATCGTCTCGATCTTCTGACCTCGTGATCCGCCCGCCTCGGCCTCCCAAAGTGCTGGGATTATACGCATGAGCCACTGCGTCCGGCCAAAAGCTGTTTTTTAAAACCTTCCCTCAAATCATCTAACACAACCCCAAATCCTATAAAAAGCCTTTGTAACACCTTCTTAGGGAGACACTTCCTCACCGCAATGAGTGGATAAATCTTTCTTTGTTCAGTTATGTACAGGTGTGTGCTTTGGCTGAAGGGCATTGAGATTGGCATAAGCAATTTAGATTGGATGGTGGTGCTGTTGCGAGATGGAAAAAACAGTGCATAATCAGTGATTGGAGTTGACCATCTGCCAAGCCCAGGGAGGAGATGCTGCCTTTGAATGCCCCAAAGAGACTGGAAGGCTTGCCAATACCTCTCACAAGTGCTCTGAGGCTTTTGTTTTTGTTTAAGTCCTGATTTACTTTTTTTTTTTTTTGAGACAAAGTCTTGCTCTGTCACTCAGGCTGGAGTGCAGTGGTATAATTATAGCTCACCGGAACCTCAAACTCACGGGCTCAAGCGATCCTCTCACCTCAGCTCCCCGAGTAGCTGGGACTACAGGCATGCACCACCACGCTTGACTAATTTTTATTTTTTTGTTGTTGAGATAGGGTCTAGCCATTTGAGATGGAGTCTCACTCTGTTACCCAGGCTGGAGTACAGTGGTGCGATCTCGGCTCACTGCAACCTCCGCCTCCCGGGTTCAAGTGATTCTCCTGCCTCAGCCTCCCGAGTAGATGGGATTACAGGCACAGACCACCACACCTGGCTAATTTTTTATATTTTTGGTAGAGACGGGATTTCACCATGTAGGCCAGGCTGGTCTTGAACTCCTGACCTCAAGTGATTTGCCCACTTTGGCCTCCCAAAGTGATAAGATTACAGACTTGAGTCACCACACCCAGCCAGCAAATGAGGTTTTTACTTATCTTCCATGCTGTTCTAAGGCACCACCAACTTCATTTGTATTAAAATTGTTACATTTTTATTGATTCACTTATATTAATAACTGATACTTAATGAGTGTGTATTGTACGTCAGGCACTGCTCTAAGGGCTCTAGATTGTTTTTGTTTTGAGACAGGGTCTCCCGGACTCAAAAGATCCTCCTGCCTCCACCTTCCAAATTGCTGGGATTACAGGACTGAGCCACCGCCCAGCCCTGGCTCTAGATGTTTAAATTCATGTACTCCACACATCAACTCCATGATTATATGTACTATTATTATCTCATTTTACTACTGTGGAAACTGAGGTACAAAACTTGCGGAGTGAGGATTTGAACCTAGGTCATACTCTTGGTCAGCCAGAGCCACCCTTTTTTTACATTCGTAGGAAGATATGGTTCACACTGTGCAACACATTGATCTTTTCATTTTACTCTTTTGTAGCTTGTTCCATATCAACACATAGCCCCGACTAAGAGGTTGAGAGACAGCCATTTTGTTTGTAGTCTGGAAGGACTGCAAATCCCGGCATCCCTCGCGGCAGCGGCCCTCTACACACAACAAATCCCGGCATGCCCCTGAGCGGCCCGAGGTGGAGGGTTCTAGAAGGCGTGACGTGGGGTCGAGAGCGGGATCGGAGGCTGGCGCCTTTCGGCAGTCGCTGTGGCTGCAGCTGCCGGGCCTGGGGACGCGAGCGGCCGAGGCCGCCGTCGCAGCTTCCTAGTCTCGCCGGCTATGGCTACGCTCGGCCGGCCCTTCAGCGGCCTCCCTCTGAGCGGCAGCTCGGACTTCCTGCAGCCGCCGCCGCAGCCGGCCTTCCCTGGCCGGGCCTTCCCGCCAGGGGCTGACGGCGCCGACTTGGCCCCGCGGTCGGGACCCCGCGCAGTCCCTAGCAGCCCCGCCGGGAGTGCGGCGCGCGGACGGTGAGGAGCCCGTCGGGCTCAGGGCGGGCGGGCAGGCTGGGCGCCCCTCGCGGCGGGCACGGGCAGGGGCGCGGGCTCCGCGCCGGGGCATCTTGACTTTCCCTCCCCACGGCCCTGCGCGGGAGCTTCGCAGCCCAGTTTACAGATGAAGAAACTGATCCCCAGAGACGTTAACTGTAAGTCGCCTGGGGTCGCACAGCCCAGGAGTCCGGTCCGAACCTCGGCCCGACTGTGTCCCCGAGAAGTGAGACTTCCAGTTGGAACCTGGGCGACTCGGTCTGGGTGCCCCCTCGGCGCGGCCGCTGTTAGTGACAACTTTCAGTGTCTCATCTGCAAAGTATGCCAAGCATGGGACAGAAACGGGTCCTCTTAGTGAGATTATGCAAATAAAGTGCTTAGAACAGCGCCTTCCCCGAGGACGTTTTCCCTCGTTTGGTCTTCCACCTTGACAAAACGACAAGTTGAGATTTCAGTGCCCAGTTATGTCGGGGCAACCCACCGTTACCCGACTGACCTGTGATTTGTACCCATCCCACTAGGCTCAGAAAGGGACGTTTGGTGTGTGGGGATGAGGAAGATTATTGGAGCAAGAAAGAGGATCCTGAAAGCACGAGCTCAAGTACATTTCTGAATTGACTGATTTTTGTTTGTTCCAACAGTGTTTCTGTTCACTGTAAAAAGAAACACAAGCGAGAGGAGGAGGATGATGAGTAAGTTTCAGTGGTTTATTCACTCTATGGCCGCCGTTAGTTGAACCCATGTTGTAGTCTAAATTACTTGTTTAAGTGAAAAGGTGAAACATTAGATGAGTGTTTCTGGAAAGAGACACAGGAATTAGTGACACTGGTTGTCTTTTAGAGAAAGTAACAGTGGCAGTTCAGAGGGAAACTTTTCGCTCTGTAACAAATTGTAATGTTTGGATTTTGAGCCATGTTAATGTTACATGCACAAAGTAAAATAATTTAAAAAGTACATATTGAAAAGTTTTTTTTTTTTTTTTTGAGACGGAGTCTCCCAGGCTGATGTCGGCTCAATGTAAACTCCGTCTCCCAGGTTCATCCCATTCTCCTGCCTCAACCTCCCTAGTAGCTGGGACTACAGGCGCCCGCCATCACGCCTGGCTATTTTTTTGTATTTGTTTGTTTGTTTTTTAAGTAGTTGTTTTTTTAGTAGAGACGGGGTTTCACCGTGTTAGCCAGGGTGGTCCCGATCTTCTGACTTCGTGATCCGCCCGCCTCAGCCTCCCAAAGTGCTGGGATTAAGGCCTGAGCCGCCCCAGCCTGAAAAGTTTTTTTTTTTAAAGTCAGGGTCTCTGTCACCCAAGCTGGAGTGCAGTTGTGTTATCCCAGCTCACTGCAGCATCAAACTCCTTGGGCTCAAAATGATCCTTCAGCTTTAGCCTCCTGAATAGCTGAGACTACAGACTTGTCACCACGCTGAGCTAATTTTTTAAAAAAATTTTTGTAGAGATGGTGTCTCACTATGTTGACCAGTCTGGTCATGAACTTTTGGCCTCAAGCAATCCTCCCAGCTCTGGGATTACAGGTGTGAACTGTCACACCAGACTGTATTCAAGTCTTTTACTCCACACCCCTAGTTTTCCCCACCAGAGATAACCGTTACCCTTTTCCTGTGTCTCCTTTAGACGATAATCTAAAAATTTACCAAGTTTTCTTTTTTTTTTTTTTTTTTTTTTGAGACGGAGTCTCGCTCTGTCGCCCAGGCTGGAGTGCAGTGGCCGGATCTCAGCTCACTGCAAGCTCCGCCTCCCGGGTTCATGCCATTCTCCCACCTCAGCCTCCCGAGTAGCTGGGACTACAGGCGCCCACCACCTCGCCCGGCTAGTTTTTTGTATTTTTTTAGTAGAGACGGGGTTTCACCATGTTAGCCAGGATAGTCTCGATCTCCTGACCTTGTGATTCGCCCGTCTCGGCCTCCCAAAGTGCTGGGATTACAGGCGTGAGCCACCGCGCCTGGCCAGTTGTGTGGAATTCTATTGTGGGACTTGGTATAGATAATTAACCAATTTCCTATTGATGGATTTCTAAGTTATTTTCTAATCTTTTGCTATTACAAATCTACCCTGACCATTCTTTTGAAGTTCTTTGTATATGTTTGGAAGTATATGAATGGTTTCCTTGATGCGGAATTGCTGGGTCTTAAAGTGCGTGCATTTTAAAGTTCGAATGTGAGTTTTTGCCAATTTATATGCCCATTAACATCTTCTCAACACAAGTGTATTTTTAAACTTTGGGATTGCTGCCTAACTAATACATGAAAAATTACATCTCATAAACAGGCAGTCTAATAGAAAAAGAAGTAAGGCCAGGCGCGGTGGCTCACTCCTGTAATCCCATCACTTTGGGAAGCTGAGGCAGGTGGATCACGAGGTCAGGAGTTCAAGACTAGCGTGACCAATATGATGAAACCCGGTCTGTACTAAAAATACAAAAATTAGTCAGGTGTGGTGGCAGGTGCCTGTAATCCCAGCTACTCGGGAGGCTGAGGCAGGAGAATCGCTTGAACTTGGGCAGCAGAGGTTGCAGTGAGCCGACATTGTGCCACTGCACTCCAGCCTGGGTAACAAAGTGAGACTGTCTCAAAAAAAAGAATAAGAAGTAAAAAGATTTCTCAAAGATAATATCCAAGAACAACCAAATAAAAAAGTGTTCAACCTCATTATCTTTAGGGAAATGCGTATTAAAGCCACAATGAGATGCCACTCTACCTCCAGATATTGGGATGCATGTGAAGCACCAGGAACTCTTAAACATGGGTAGGAGTGTAAATTGGGACCATTAGGATCATTAGGCATCCACATTAAAGTCCTGATTTGGCATCCAGCGTAGTGCCTCATGTCTGTAATCCCAGCACTTGGGGAGGCCAGGGTAGGTGGATTTCTTGAGCCCGAGAGTTTGAGACCAGCCTGGCTAACATGGCGAAACCCTGTCTCTACTAAAATACAAAAAAATAGCTGGTGTGGTGGTGCGTGCCTGTAATCCCAGACACCCCAGAGGCTGAGGCAGGAGGAGAAGGCAGAGGTTACAGTGAGCCAAGATTGTGCCACTGCACTCCATCTTAGGCAACAGAGCAAGACTAGATTACCATTTTGGGATGCTGGCTGTATTCTGTATCTTTTCTTTTGTTTTTTCCCCCAGTTACTTTGTTGCTCAGGCTAGAGTGCAGTGGCACAGGCTCAGCTCACTGCCACCTCTATCTCCCAGGTTCAAGCGATTCTCCTGCCTCAGCCTCACAAGTAGCTGGGATTACAGGAGCATACCACCACGCCCAGCTAATTTTTTTTTTTTTTTGAGACGGAGTTTCACTCTTGTTGCCCAGGCTGGAGTGCAATGGCACAATCTCCACTCAGCACAACCTCTGCCTCCCAGCTTCAAGTGGTTCTCCGGCTGTACCTCCTAAATAGTTGGGATTACAGGCATGTGCCGCCTTGCCTGGCTAATTTTGTATTTTCAGTAGAGACAGGGTTTCTCCATGTTGATCAGGCTGGTCTGGAACTCCCAACCTCAGATGATCCTCTTGCCTTGGCCTCCCAGAGTGCTGGGATTACAGGCATGAGCCACTGAGCCCGGCCAATTTTTTGTATTTTTAATAGAGAAAGGGTTGTGCCATGTTGGCCAAGATGGTCTCGATCTCCTGACCTCAAGTGATCTGCCTGCCTCGGCCTCCCAAAGTGCTGGAATTACAAGCATGAGCCACTGCGCCTGGCCTATTCTGTGTCTTAAATTACATTGTCATTATTGTTTGTTTTGTAATTATTTGTTAAGCTGTATGTTTGATGTAATTTTACGTGTGTAGGATTTTATAGTTAAAAAGGTTAAAGAAGTTTAGATTGTTGTTTTAATTTATATTTGTTAATTATAAGTGATATTGAACATTAATATTTTTCTTTTCTTTTCTTTTTTTTTTTTTTTTTTTGAGATGGACCTCACACATCTGCGCCCAGGACTAGAGTGTCAGAGCCTGTGATCTTGGCTTACTGCAACCTCTACCGCCCAGGCTCAAGTGATTCTCCTGCCTCAGCCTCCCAAGTTGCTGGAATTACAGTCGCGCACCACCAGGCCCACCTTATTTTTGTATTTTTAGTAGAGACGGGGTTTCACCATGTTGGCCAGGGTGGTCTTGATCTCTTGACCTCATGATTCACCCGCCTGGGCCTCCCAAAGTTCTGGGATTACAGGCGCAAGCCACTGCGCCTGGCTGTTTATGCATATTTTCTATTGGCTTATTGATCTTTTTCTTACTCATTTATAGGAATTTTTTTTTTTTCTTTTTGAGACGGCTCCTCACTCTGTTGCCCAGGTTGGAATACAGTAGCATGATCTGGGTTCACTGTAGCAACCTCCACCTCCTGGGTTCAAGCGATTCTTCTGTCTCAGCCTCCGGAGTAGCTGGGATTACAGGTGCATGCCACCATGCCTGGCTAATTTTTTGCATTTTTAGTAAAGACAGGTTTCACCCTGTTAGCCAGGATGGTCTCTATCTCCTGACCTTGTGATTCGCTCACCTAGGCCTCCCAAAGTGTTCGGATTATAGGCGTGAGCCACCACGTCCTGCAGGAAATCTTTATTAAGGAAGTTAGGGGTTTATGTGTGTTGCACTTGTTTTCTTCAAATTTATCCTTTGTCTTTTAATTTTGTGTATGATTTTTTTCTGCCATTGGACACTTTGGATTTTCTAAACTTGTTGATACGTAGATTCATAAAACATTAGATTTGAAAGTTCCCTTAGTTTAAAAATCACTGGGTCCGGCGCAGTGGCTCATGCCTGTAATCCTAGCACTTTGGGAGGCCGAGGCAGGCAGATCACCTCAGATCAGTAGTTTGAGACCAGCTGGGCCAACATGATGAAACCTCTTCTCTACTAAAAATACAAAAATCATCTGGGCGTGGTGGTACGTGCATGTAGTCCCAGCTACTCGGAGGCTGAGGCAGGAGAATTGCTTGAACCCAGGAGGCGGAGGTTGCAGTGAGACCCACTGACCAGAAAATATTTCTGTTCCTTATTGCCTTGGGATTACTGTGGATAACACAGGAAACTTTTTGCTTTTATATTTTGGGGTTCCCTCTTAAGATGTTATTATAGATTCCTAAATAAATAAATAAAAAGTTTAAAGTATAGAAACTATTGGCTTAAAAAGTTAACCATCTTTAATTTACAAATGGAGAAGTTGAGGCCTTGGGAGGAGGTGGGATGAGACATTTGGATGTCTAATGCCCAGAAGTGTGCTATCATATTATCTTTGGGACTTAATTATCATTGATCTCTATTTAGAAAGTGAACCTACAGGCATGAAATAACTTAGCCTAAATCATGTTGTTGGAGGTCAGAGTGCAGAACCCAGCTGTTAAACTCATTTGCATTTTATAGTGGAATTGTTAGATTGTGTGGGGAAATTACCTGTTCCCTGTAGATTTATTTTGCTTTTTGGGGATGTGGATTCTCTCACTGTGTTGCTCAGGTTGGTCTCAGACACTGGGCTCAAGTGATCTCCTTCCGCAGCTTCCCAAGTAGCTGGGACTGTAGGCACACACCACCACACTTGCCTTATTCTGCTTTTTCCTCAAGATGCAACTCATTACTTTACTGTGACACTTTGTAGAAGCCAGGTTAGTTTTTCTAGGTCCTAGTTTCCAAAAAAAAAAAAAAAAAAAGGGATTTGATGAATTCTTAAGTTTCTATGAAGTACGAATTTGTTTAGGATGTGAAGACATTATGTTGCAAAGTGGGAGAAAATTGGACCCCACTATTGGTTGGACACTGATAGAGCCTCTGACATTTTGAAGGGGACCAAGAAATTAATGCTGTCCCCCACACCTGTAATATTAATACTTTGAACAAACCTCATGAGATGTACATTTTTGCCCTAAGGGAATATAGAATGGCTGCCAGACCATCTCCCTATATGTTTGATGGAGCAGTAGCAGTATGACAAAATATGCTGAATTGCTGACTTTTGGTTTCTTTGTTTCTTTCATTCATTCATTCATTCATTCATTCATTCATTCATGGTTTGAATTAGTGTCTCACTATATTGCCCAAGCTGGTCTTGAACTGTAGGCTCAGGTGATCCTCCTACCTCAGCCACTCCACGTGCTGGTATTACAGGTGTGAGCCACCACGCCCAGCCAACTTTTGGTTTCTTTACTTCCCACTTGCCCTTTCCAGAGCCAAATAAGCAGGAATGACTTTAAGGTCCCACACTGAACACTTAACTGTTTGAACAGGCAAAATCTTGCAGGTGCATCTTTATTTGGCAAAGAGCAGTAGAAGAAAGCAGTTCAGTGTGGCTGTGAGAATAGCAGGAAAAAAATGCAGTATTTTCCATCTTGTAATCACACACTGTCAAAAAAGTTAGTTTTTTAAATATAAAAATTTGATTGGAGATAGGAATGATAAACGTTTCATTTATATTAGTTGGGATTTTCATTGAATTTTTTTTCTGTTTTTTAGTTGTCCAGTAAGAAAGAAAAGGATAACTGAAGCAGAGCTCTGTGCTGGTCCTAATGACTGGATTCTTTGTGCACATCAGGATGTAGAGGGGCATGGAGTAAATCCCTGCATTAGTGGCCTTTCCGTACCTGGGATATTAGATGTTATTTGTGAAGAAATGGATCAGACAACTGGAGAACCACAGTGTGAAGTTGCCCGAAGGAAGCTTCAAGAGATTGAGGACAGGTAACTGGGCAGTGTATATAGCTGCTTTTTTGCTGTTTCCTTGTAATATCTCTTCTCATATAAGCTAATTCTGTTTATCATTTGGTGATACCTTGATCCTTAACCTCTCAGAAAGACTGTAAGTCAGAGAATTCAAAGCGTATGTTTTTTTTTGTTTTGTTTTTTTGTTTTGTTTTGTTTTATAGATGGAGTTTTGCTCTTGTTGCCTAGGCTGGAGTGCAATGGCACCATCTTGGCTCAGTGCAACCTCCGCCTCCTGGGTTCAAGCGATTCTCCTGCCCCAGCCTCCCAAGTAGCTGGGATTACAGCCATGCGCCACCAAGCCCAGCTAATTTTGTATTTTTAGTAGAGACAGGGTTTCTCCATGTTGGTCAGGCTGGTCTCGAACTCATAACCTCAGGTGATCCACCCGTCTCAGCCTCCCAAAGTGCTGGGATTACAGGTGTGAGCCAACCCCCCCCCCCCCCCCTTTTTTTTTTTAATTGAGACAGGGTCTTGCTTTGTCACCCAGGTTGGAGTGCAGTGGCTCACTGCAGTCTTGACCTTTCAGGCTCAACACATCTGCCCCCCTCAGCCTCCCGAGTAGCTGGGACTGCAAGCATGCACCACCACCCCTGGCTAATCTTTGTGTCTTTTATAGAGACGGGATTTCACCATGTTGCCCAAGCTGGTCATGCATTCTTGGGCTCAAGCAAGCCGCCTGCCTCAGCCTCCCGAAGTGCTGGGATTACAGGCGTGAGCTACTGTGCTGGGCCAGTATACTGTAGCCTTTTTTTTTTTTTTGAAACAATCTCGCTCTGTCGCCCAGGCTGGAGTGCAATGACACCATCTCAGCTCACTGCAACCTCTGCCTGCCAGGTTCAAGCAATTCACTTGCCTCAGCCTCCTGAGTAACTGGGATTACAGGTGTCTGCCACCACACCTGGCTAATTTTTTTTGTATTTTTATTTTTATTTTTGGAGACAGAGTCTCGCTGTGTCGCTTAGGCTGGAGTGCAGTGGTGCGATCTTGGCTCATTGCGATCTCCGCCTCCCAGGTTCAAGCAATTCTCCTGCCTCAATCTCCTGAGTAGCTGGGATTACAGGTGCCTGCCATCACACTTGGCTAATTTTTGTATTTTTAGTAAAGACAGGGTTTCACCATGTTGGCCAGGCTGGTCTCGAACTCCTGGCCTCAGGTTATCTGCCCATCTCGGCCTCTCAAGTGCTGGGATTATAGGCATGAGGCACCATGCCCAGCCATGAAGTATGTGCTTTTAAAGTGAATTCTCATAGAACTGCTAAGTGTTTTCACTTACTGTCTCTGAATATTAATTTTGGTTTATGTGATAATTCTCTGAAAAACATTCAGATTTGATTATATGTAAAACTTTTTTGTTAAATGAAATGTTGAACAACCCCCTGAGTATAGGTTTTTTTGTTTTGAGACGGAGTCTTGCTCTGTTGCTCAGGCTGGTGTAGAATGGCACGATCTTGGTTCACTGCAACCTCCACCTCCTGGGTTCAAGTGATTCTCCTGCCTCAGCCTCCTGAGTAGCTGAATTACAGGGATGTGTCACCACACCCGACAAATTTTTGTATTTTTAGTAGAGATGGGATTTCACCATGTTGGCCAGGCTCTTCTCCAAATCCTAACCTCAGGTTATCTGCCTGCCTCAGCCTCCCAAAGTGCTGGGATTACAGGTGTGAGCTGCCACGCCCAGCCTGAGTATACCTTTTATACTCAGGTATAGCCTCATTTTTTGCTTAGTCTATTGCTGTATTACTTACTGCTTTTATCCTTTTGTATTTTTAAAATTTTGTCTAAATACTAGAATATATAATAGCTTGTCTAAATATTTTTTCTTCTGCTGATGCCTTAATTGATTTAGGATAATTGATGAAGATGAAGAAGTTGAAGCTGACAGAAATGTTAACCATCTCCCCAGTCTTGTCCTTTCTGATACCATGAAAACAGGTTTGAAGAGGGAATTTGATGAAGTTTTTACAAAGAAAATGATTGAGTCTATGTAAGTTTTGGTACCTGATTTCTATTTATTTATGGTCTTGCAGGGAAAACCCAGTGTCTAGATTCTGCCCATCCTGTCCTCGTCAGCTCTTTTTATCTCCTGATCACCAGGCAATCGGAGATTGGCTTTTTCCTAGTTCATTGGGTTGAGCAAAGTGCTTTACAAGTAGAAGTTTGAAGTATGGGGAAGTGGCTGCCTTGCCTACTTACTCTTTCGTTCCTTTGAAGACCTAAAATGGACTGTAGTCTGCTATTTGGAAATGGGATGACTGGCAAGAGAGCCCACTCTCTCAAGTTCTTGTGATAGGATATAGGAACCACATTTCAAAGGCTCCTGTTTACCCGGCTTTCTAAATTACCCAGGAACAACATTGAGGCCTAGGAAACAAAAAAAAAAGTGGCCCATCAGTGAAAGTAGTTACTGCAAAGACTGCAAAACAAAGCTCATATTCTTGGCTCATTAGCATAGTCCTTCCAGGCCTTTAGCAGAGCTGTTTTGCTTTTTTTTTTTTTTGAGACGGAGTCTGGCTCTCTCGTCCAGGCTGGAGTGCAGTGGCCGGATCTCAGCTCACTGCAAGCTCCGACTCACGGGTTTACGCCATTCTTCTACCTCAGCCTCCCGCATGCCTGGCTAATTTTTTGTATTTTTAGTAGAAACCGGGTTTTACCATGTTGTGCAGGCTGGTCTTGAACTCTCCTGACCTCGTGATTCACCCGTCTCGGCCTCCCAAAGTGCTGGGATTACAGGCTTGAGCCACCGCGCCCGGCCTGTTTTGCTTTTAATCTAAACACAGTTTATGAGCTCAGTTATCTGGTTTCCTAGATCATCAGAGTAGAAGCAGAAACAGCAAATGAGAGCAGAACAAACAAAACTCCTAACAGGGAGCTGTGACTACACTGTGAGGACAAGAGAGGAACCTGGAAAGCAAACACAATAACCTAAAAAGTAAAGTGGCCTGGGGCCTGTGAGTAATGATTAGCCCAGCCCTGTAATCCTGTAGTCCCTGAAGCCTCCATGATCTCAAATTGTCATTATTAACTATGTAAAATAGTAGGGAAGTTGGTTATAAAGTGCCATTTAGGTATTGCCTAGGAAAGACTTTAGATGGAGTTGGTACCCAATGAGGGCAAGTTTCAGGTATCTGAAAAAACCTCTTAGGACACCAGTCTCAGTGAGGCCAGATAGATGAGGCATTATTACCTTTGGATACAGGGGAGGTGATTTGTGCTAGAAGTTCAGCTGCTATTTGGTCTTATCACAGAGGTTTTGCTTTAGGGTTCTATCTTGAGCTTATAATTAACTACCCAGCCCTAAGGGTGGGTAAATAGCCATAAGTAAGCTGGTCACATTACCCTCCAGCCTAAACCATAGCACTTTCTGCTTTTGGTAGTTTTCCAGAAGCTAGCCTTTGGGGGTATTTCATTGTTTTGTTTTATTTTTGCTTCCTCTTTGGGCCCAGACACCATCGCTGCCACAGTGTGTGTATAACATAGTCATTTTGCCTTAACCGTGAAGCTTGTTTTGTTTTGCTTTGTTTTGTGTTTTGAGACAGGGTCTCACTCTGTCACCCAGGCTGGAGTGTAGTGTGGCATGATCACAGTTCACCACAGACTTTGACCTCCCGGGCTCAGGTGATCCTCCCACCTCAGCCTCCCGAGTAGCTGGGACTACAGGCACCCAGCTAATTTTTGTATTTTTTGTAGAGACAGGGTTCACCACATTGTCCGGGCTGGTTGCAAACTCCTGGGCTCAAACCGTCTGCCTGGCTCGGCCTCCCAAAGTGATAGGATTACAGGCACGAGCCACCATGCCTGACCCATAAAGCATTATACTTTGTACCTGTACTAAAAGGCACCTGAGATACTTTCAGCATGTTTGTCCAGTGTTTCCTTTTCATTTATAATGATTTAGTATAAGCTAGCTGCCTACATCTAATATTAACCACAGTTTTAAAAAATTTCTAACAATCAAGGGCTCTATGTTTTCACATTGGATTTTTAGATACTTCCCATCACAGCATCATTACATCCACTTGTTTTGGTTAGATATACATGTTGAAGTGTGCAATGTTATGTATTTGAGGGGCGTTTCTAAAGATCAGTTGGAGCCAGGCATGGTGGTAATGTGCCTGTAGTCCTAATTACTGGGAAGGCTAAAGTGGGTAGATTACTTGAGTCCAGGAGTTAAAGGCTGCAGTGAGCTATGACTGTGCCACTGTACTCCACCCTGGACAACACAGCAAGACCCCCATCTCTTAAAAAAAAAAAAAAAAAAAAAGAAAGAAAGTAAAGATCAGTTTGTGTGTTCTAAATCTCCTGTTTTGCTACCATCAGTCCTTAAGGTATTAGGTAATGTTGGCTTTTCAACCTATAGCTTTTGTTTTCATGTCCTAAAATTTTTTGATAAAAGTCTGTATTTTATGTCTTAGGAGCCGTCCTTCCATGGAGCTTGTTCTCTGGAAACCCCTCCCTGAACTCCTTTCTGATAAGCCAAAGCCATCCTCTAATACTAAGAACTATACAGGAGAGAGCCAAGCTAAGCATGCAGCTGCTGGCACTGCCTTCCCTCAGAGAACTGAACTGTTCTTGGAACCTCGGCAACCAGGGATGTCTCTTTATAATAATTTGGAGACAGCTACTAGCACAGAAGAAGAGATGGAACTCTAGAAACCAATTTCTACACTAAAGTTGTCAAATGTTAGAAGAATCCTGTGTTCAGTTATGAGACTCTTTGCATAGTATAGGGACTTGAAAGTTTTATGAAACGGGTGTAATAATATCTCCACCTGTGATTTGGGGGTGGGACTCTCATTTTGGGTAGCCATTTATTGACTTCAACTTTTTGCCAAGGAAGTTTGTCTCAAGGGAAAAGCAGTTTTCTGTGGGGCTTATTAAAGGAATGTTGGTTTACAGTTTCTTCGAAGATTACAGCCTCTTCAAAGACAAGTATAGAAGCTGTATGTGTAAGGGTGACTTAAATCATATATCACATTGTCTAAACTATTCAGACACTTGGAGAATATTCTCCTTGAATTAAAAAAAGATGATTAAGAAGGATGCTCCTACTACAGCTGTATCCTGACAGTTAAGTCACAGTTTAGTGTGTAGATATGAGCTATTTACAGTGGTGCCTATATCTAATTGGGGAGGAGGGAAGAGAGCAGTAGCTTAAGCCTGTTGCTAAGAAATCTAATTTCTTAGCAACTTGTAATTTAGTTATCAATTCAGTATAGCTCGTTGATAGCCAGTAGTATTGTGGCTCTCCTCTTTGACTATGAAAATAATAGAGAAAGTTTTTCCTTCAAGGCTTTTTTGCCTTGTGCCACTGTTACTCCTTGGTTTCCCTTGCGTAATTGATAAGCCCAGTTATTCAGTAATGTTTACAAATTAATTGACTTTCAATGATAGTTAAAAGACTGATGTAACCCATCTGCAATTTGCCTATGGGGAAGCGTCCTTTAGTTCATCCTAAGGAAGTGCTTGGTCAACTAAACCCAGCATTGATAACTTTAGTAATTTTTTAAAAAGTTATACTTGTATTAGCAAGTTTTTTTTTTTTCCCCACCGCAACCTCCACCTCCCGGGTTCAAGCAATTCTCCTGCCTCACCCTCCTGAGTAGCTGGGATTACAGGTGCCTGCCTCCACGCCCAGCTAATTTTTGTATTTTTAATAGAGACCGGGTTTCGCCATGTTGGCCAGGCTGGTCTCGAACTCCTGACCTCAGGTGATCTGCCCACCCCAGCCTCCCAAAATGCTGGGATTACAGGCGTGAGCCACGGCGCACAGCCAGCAAGTTACTTTTAAATGTTAATTTAGAAAACAGTGAATGATTAGCTGAAAATATATGAGCAGGTGACATTGAGGTTTACTGAAACAGCCAATTTGACTGGTGCTGAGACTTGTGCAGTAAGCCTAAAAGGTAGTGGAGAATTGCTTCCTGCTAGCAGGAAGCCTTCATCTTCTTGAGTACCTAAACCAGGCTTCAGGTGTCCTTTGAGGATAGCCAGGTTTGAAATTTGTAGTTTCTCAGGAAGAGCTCTTCTGTGTGGCAGGGGCTGATAGGGCAAAATAAAATGACAGTTTCTTTATTGCTACAGAATATCCACTATAAGTTATTAAATGAGTGTAATGGTATAATGCCCTTCCATCACAACAGGACACCACCCCAGTTTTGTTTTCTGGGTTTCTTCCCCCTTTGTAGGAATCAGATACCTTTTATAGAAAAAAAATGGCTTATGCCACATAAAGGTGAATTTTTAGAAACCACCTTCTAGGCGTTTTTGGAACCCTTACTGAAATCCCTCCCCTTGTTACAGATGGCATAGAAGTCACAAGTCTGTTAATTGGACTGTTACTTCTTTGCCTGTTCCTGCTTTCTCTTTCTGTCTGGATAGTCAGGAAAATATTTAATGTTTAATATTTAAACAAATTATTTAATATCTATACAGTAAAATTATTCAAACTTCAAACCAGTATTGAAAGCAGTTGAAAACCAGCTAATAGTTTCTTAATCTCAGATTTCGAGATGAATGTAAACTGTATTCTTTCGAAATGTGCAAGTGTTTGATTCATGCCGTTTGATAAACTTCTGCCTTGTAGTCATTGTTTGATGGGACCAACTTGTAAAGTTTGTAGCCTTAAACAAATCTCCATGCTAAAAAATGTGTTCCAGTGCAACACAAAAACATGAAGTGACTGCCCAGAGGTAGAGTTAGTGTTTAGGTGGAAAGGAAGATGACAGCTTTCCAAAGAAGAATCTAAAACACACCAAGATTGTCTTCTACAGGAATTGTTGGGCAGGTCTCCGACTAAAGGTCTTACGATGAAAAGGAAGAAACGAGCCCCCAACCCAAGGCTCTGATACTACTGGTAAATGTAGGAGAGAATTAAGATTCTGTTAATTAAAATCCAAACAGAGCTTATTTCACTAGTCAAGTTACCTGACGTGATAATTATTTCTGCAGGATAATTGATGTTTTATGTTCTTTTTTGGACTTTATCTTCTTGCATATGTTTCTACAAAAATTGTTTTCTTCATCCTTGTGGTGCTTATTCATCTGAGCCGTCTCCACAGTCCCAATGCCTCTGCTTTTTGTTTTACTTTTGTAGCATAAGGGTTTTGCTTTTGCTTTGCCTTAAGATTTCCCTAGGGAGTTATCAGGGCTTTTCGTTTTGTATAGCTTTTGCAGCATGGATCAAACATTGGCTTACTGTGCTAATGTGTGAAGAGAAAAAATTATCTAAAGCAGGTGAGCTTTAATGAACAAATGTGTATTTTATCTGAGTTTGAGTAGGGTGCGTGTGGTTTTTGTTTTTTGTTTTTGTTTTTTTGTAATATGAAGAAAGTCCAGTTCTCATAAATATTAATCACTTAAAAAACTGCTACTCTTTCTTGAAAAGGTACACATGTAAAATTTAGGAAAATAACTAAGGTAGGGGCAGGAACCATAAGAAAAATGTTTACCAGCATGTTCATGTATTATTTTGGATTTGGAACTTGGCTTTGTTTTTCAAAAGTGACAAGAATGGTTCAGTTCTAGGAATGTTCTGGAAGATGCTGTTAATTTTACTTTAAAATGAGAATCTGGTGTTTCTGTATTTTATCGTTTTCAATAAAACTTCTTAAGTGTTTTGGACTTTTGAGATATTTGTATTACTCCACTTAAATAATGAAATCAGATATCTCCTTTCCTCTCAATTGTAGTTGAAGCAGCATTCATATTAGTGAAGGACTTAAATTTATGCTGAAGGGATGATTATGTTGGGATAAAGCTTAAGTTTCATATTTGAATTAGCTATTCCCAAAATAGGCAGGCTGTGTGTTGCTGTTCTAAAACCCGTAGACTGCTTTCCACTCAGAGCAATTCACTGCTATTGTTAGTATTTAGATGGCAGTGGTAACTGTGTATTCAAAAATGTTCAAATGGACCAGGTACGATGGTGCATACATGTACCAGCACTTTGTGAGGCTGAGGCAGGAGGATCACGTAAGCCCAGGAGAGACAGACCTGGGCAATGTTAGCAAGACCTTGTCTCTTAAAAAAAAAAAATGTGTGTGTGTGTGTATATATATATATATATTCAAATGTAGAGTTGGAAGAGTGGCATACAGAGTTCATAGAGGGGGTTGAGGATCTTTGAAAATGGGGAATGGAAAACCCAGTGATGTTCACTTACGTGGTGGTTAATTTTTTTTTTTTTCAGACGGAGTTTTGTTCTTGTTGCCCCAGCTGGAGTGCAGTGGTGTGATCTCGGCTCACCACAACCTCTGCCTCCTGGGTTCAAGTGATTATCATGCCTCAGCCTCCTGAGTAGCTGGGATTATAGGCATGCGCCACCACACCTGGCTAATTTTTGTGGTGGTGGTTTTTTTTGTTTTTTGAGACGAAGTCTCGCTCTGTCACCAGGCTGGAGTGCAGTGGTGCAATATCGGCTTGCTGCAACCTCCGCCACCTGGGTTCAAGCGATTCTCCTGCCTCAGCCTCCTGAGTTGCTGAGACTATAGGCACATGCCACCATGCCCACCTAATTTTTTTTTGTACTATTAGTAGAGACGGGGTTTCTCCACGTTTGTCAGGCTGGTCTCGAACTCCCAACCTCAGGTGATCCGCCTGCCTCAGCCTCCCAAAGTGCTGGGATTACAGGTGTGAGCCACCGTGCCCAGCCAGTTCATTTCTTTAAGACTTGACAGGACACTGGGTGGCAGTATTGCCTGCATATTTACATTCTTTGATAAATACATTCCTGATTTGGTGGGTAGGGGGAGTTAAGTTTGGGATACAATTACAAAAAGCATGGAGGCTTTTTTTTTTTGAGATGGAGTCTCCCTCTGTTGCCCAGACTGGAGTGCAGTGGCGTGATCTCGGCTCACTGCAACCTCCGGCTCCTAGATTCAGGTGATTCTCCTGCCTCAACCTACAGGCATGCGCCACCACGCCCGGCTAATTTTTGTATTTTTAGTGGAGACAGGGGTTCACCATATTGGCCATGCTGGTCTCGAACTCCTGACCTTGTGATCCACCCACCTCAGCCTCCCAAAGTGCTAGATTACAGGCATGAGCCACTGTGCCCCGCCACGTGATGTTTTAAATCAAAATTTGGAAATCACAGCTAAAAATGATCTAATTACAGGTTTGGAAACTAAAACCTAAGTAGATCGTGTCGTCCAGTTCCTCAGGTCAGTGTTCTTTCACTTGACCAGTTGGTTTTAGAGTCTTTGCAGATCTAAGATGTCATTTAGATTTGGTTGAAATAACCAATAATATAGTTCAAGCAGTCTAACATTAAACTCCTCAAGGAAACATGGTTTAGTATGCATCAGTTTGGTACAAATCCTCTAGCTATGTTAATTCCCTAGTTCCTCAGACTACTAGTAGTATCTTAGAGATGAAGTAGTTGTGGTTAGAATAGTGTTTGGATTATAGCCCCAGCAAGACAGTGATGTTTGGTTGGGTGCAGTGGCTCATGCTTAAAATCCCAGCACTTTGGGAGGCTGAGGTCAGAAAATTGCTTGAGCCCACACATTTGAGACCAGCCTGGGCAATGCAGTAGGACTCTGTCTCTATAAGAAATTTAAAATTAGGTGTCGTGGCTGGTCCCAGCTACTTAGGAGGATGAGGTGGGAGAATGGCTTGAATCCAGGAGTTTGAGGCTGCAGTGAGCCATGATTGTGCCGTTGCAGCTCAGCCTGGGTGACAGTAAGACCCTGCCTCAAAAAAAGACTGATGTTTTCTTTCAGAAACTGTTCGGTGGGTAAACAAGCCAGTCTTCCTTTGTTTTTGTTTTTTTTGTTGTTGTTGTTACTTATGTATTTATTTTTTAGAGATGGGGTCTTGCTATGTTGCCCAGGCTGGTCTCGAACTGGGCTCAAGCCATCCTCCCACCTCAGCCTGTCAAAGTGCTGGGATTATAGACGTGAGCCAGCATGCCTGGTCCAGTCTTTCTGTTTCTTAATGAACTTTATGTCATAAGAGAATTGAATTCTTAGGAGACTAGAACGTAACTGATTAAAGTGTGCCTGGAGTAAGCAGTATTACCTTCTGCCTACAGTTCTGTCTCTACTTTCTCTCTGCTCCAATAGCATATCTAGTAGAAAAGCAAGGAGGGGGCCGGGCGTGGTGGCTCACACCTGTAATCCCAGCATTTTGGGAGGCTGAGGTTGGTGGATCACTTGAGGTCAGGAGTTTGAGTCCAGCCGGGCCAACATGGTGAAACCCCGTTTCTACTAAAAATACAAAAATTAGCTGGGTGTGGTGGCATGTGCCTATAAGCCCAGCAACTCAGGAGATTGAGGCAGGAGAACTGCTTGAACCCAGGAGGTGGAGGTTGCGGTGAGCCAAGATTGTGCCACTGCACTCCAGCCTGCGTGACAGAGCGAGACTCAGTCTCAAAAAAACAAAACAAAACAACAACAAAAAAAAAGAGAAATAGATTGGTGTGACAAGGCCTAGGGAAATGGCATGCAGGCATCTTACCACTTGCCTCTTCAATCGCAATTATGAGACAACCCTCTGCATTTAATGGAACTCTTGCTTTGGTTTTGTGGGAATTAATCGTGATTTTTTATTCTAACCATTCAATTTGGTGTTTCAGTATGAAAATGAAAATGTCCATGAATACCAGGTGTTTTCTCAAGGCTGTTTAGTAATTTCCACCCATCTGTGCAGGAAATGAAAACCCTGATAATTTACACTGGTTATATATGTCCTGTCCTGTTAGTACAGCTGCCTCTTTCATATGATATCATTGAATATAAATAACTTGAGCCTTAACCTCCAGATGCTTGTGCTATAATGATAGAGGCTAAAGTACCTCTGTAATTACATCTGCCTATACAATCCCTAAATAGGTTCTTGGCGCTAAGGTTTGCAGTTATAGAAAATCAGGTGAGATAAAGTTTCCAATCATGGGGTCAGCTGGAGGCTGTTCTTATATTTATAATACAGAAACCTTTTTTTTAAGGCAGAGTCTCGCTTTTTCACCCAGTCTGGAGTGCAGGACTGCGATCTTGGCTGACTGTAACCTCCGCCCCCTGGCCTCAAGCGATCCTCCCACCTCAGCTTCCTGAGTAGCTGGGACCACCAGTGCACACCACCATGCCTGGCTATTTTTTTTACTTTTAGTGGAGAGGGTTTTGCCATGTTGTCCAGGCTGGTCTTGAACTAAGCTCAAGCAATCCGCTGGCCTTGGCCTCCCAAAGTGCTGGGATATAGGTGTGAGCCACCATGCCTGGCCTGTAAGTTTCTGAAGAAACTTAAGAGCCTAAGCAAGCTTGCATTGCTGAGCACCAGGATTGGGCCCTGGCTTCAGCGACCGAATCTTGAAGGCAGCTGACTTGCCTCCAGTCACTACACCAAAGGCATTCTTTTTTTGTTTGGTTTGGTTTTAATGGAGTTTCGCTCTTGTTGCCCAGGCTGGAGTGCAATGGCGTAATCTTGGCTCCCACAATGGCCTCCCGGGTTCAAGTGATTCTCCTGCCTCAGCCTCCCGAGTAACTGGGATTACAGGCACGCACCAACACACCCAGCTAATTTTGTATTTTTAGTAGAGACAGGGCTTCACTATGTTCATCAGGCTGGCCATGAACTCCTGACCTCATGTGATCCGCCCACCTCTGCCTCCCAAAGTGTTGGGATAACAGGCATTCTATAGTCCGCTTTGCCTTGCTGCTTGGGATTCTCTGAATCCTGCCTTTTTTCTGCTCATTCACTTTGACCTCCCCAGAGTTAGTCTTCATAAGTAGGGAACAGAGCATTTAAATGCTAAATTGGCATAGAATGATTTCATCTACTGGCATAGGTGAAATTTTATAAATAAGGAAAGTCCTGTAAAACCTTGTAAGATTTCCAAGGAAAAGATGCTATGAAGGATGAGGTGGTTATCAAGTCTTTGGGAATTGTATTAATGTCACTAGGATTTTTTCTTGAAGAGATTTATTATTTGATGAAACAAATTCTTGCGTAAATATAATTCTGGAAGAAATTAATACCCTTCCAAAGTGGATTAGGAGGTAATAATTAACTTTCCAGTGCTTAGGATGGTGCCTGGCATATACTAAATTCTTATAATGCATCATCTCTTTGAATCTTAACCACCTTTAGAGATACCATTATACAACTTTACAGATGAGGAAATAAGTGATTATATATAACCCCTGGGTTACCCAGCTTACCAGTGGCAGAGTTGAAACTAGGGAGTTTGAGTCTAGAAAATGCTCTTAATTCCCATGATAAGGGCAAGAGAATCTCGATATGTGATGGTGTGTCCTTGTTTAACATTTATAAGATGGTATAGCAAATAGTAGTTAGGGTTCTAGCTCTCCCACTTACTGGCTGTGATATTGGTCAGTTAGGCTGAAGAATCTGTCTCAGAAAGATAGTAACTGCTCAAATTATAGCTTATATCACTTACGGCAATCCAGAATTAAAGCAGGCAGTAATTAAGGTGGAAAAGCCTTCAGTCACTTTTAAAAGTGGCAGGCTCACTTCAGTTGGATCAAGTCCTACCACAGCACACAGAAACAACTAGAGAGAAAATAAGACTTACAGCCCTAGAAGAAATCAAAGAACAAGGATGCTGCATTGTACCTTTAATTGCATGGGTAGTTTTAAATAAATGGAGAAAGCACCTTTCAGAA